GGGGGCAGGAGGGGAGGGTTTGAGACGGGAAGAGTGGATAGGAAGCTTACGGGATAGGTTGTTGGAAGTTATTTTGATCTGGTTTGGTATATCATCCACTTCTGAAACTTAAGTTACTTTGTAATTTTATATTTCTGCGAAAAGCGGGTCTGGATCTTTCATAGTAAGTTTTTATGGTAATGGAAACGCGTTTACTTCGGAAGTGCTTTGGAATTGTTTACAGTAGGTGTTTTGTGCGGAAAGACGTGTGCTGGAAAGCGAAAAGTGGACGAGGGCGATTTGCTGCATGTGTATATCTTAGTAAAAATTATATGGGATATCATACGAGAACCTACACTTCAGAAGAAAACCGTCTCTGCATAGTCCACCACAACCCGCACACCCAGTTCCCTGTCTCAGGTATGGGACTCCCAAGACATGCATATGCCGATAGCGTATTTGAATTTAGTGCAATAATAATATATTTTTGGATCAGTGTACAGGCTCTGATAGTGTAGTGGTTATCACGCGCCCTTCACACGGGCGAGGTCCCCGGTTCGATCCCGGGTTGGAGCATTCTTTTCCACCTCCTTTCCTTTGGGGAGATATAAAGTTTTCCGATCGTCACTTTTGATACGAGATTGTCTTTCCACAAGCTTCCCAGTATATGGGCTTGGGGTTTTTTGGCGGGATATCAAGTTTTCCTGTGACTTGTCTTCCCAAACTGTCCTTTTCCAATGCCTCCATCGTCACTTTTGATACGAAATTGTCTTTCCACAAGCTTACCAGTATATGGGCTTGAGAAGTCAGTCTGGAAGTCACGTATCCAACTTGAATATATCTGTCATAAATTGTCACTGCCACAATAAAAGAATATCGAGACTGTATCGTCGGCGGTCCGGTGGTCCTTGAAAAGGTGCATTCTCATCTAGATCTGAAGCCCTTGTAAGGTCAGTAGAGTTTTCCCACTTCACTGAGATTGTCTTGCCGTGCCGCCGCTCTCAAAGGTCGCTATCTCGAAGTCAGAGTGCAATCGGCGGATCGGATGTCTTGATGCTCGTGTCAGTCCGAAGCAGTGTCTGTACGGTGCTTCTAATTTCAAAGTAAGGAAATCTTCCAAGCAAGTACCACTTAACCACCTAAGTTCGGACTACCTCATGTAACGAAGCAGGAAATCTTAGAGTGACAAGCGCTGCGCCGGCTGCTGGAGATTCTGGGCCCAGTCAGGAGCTTAACAACGTGCTGAGCTCAAGCGGCACAATTCTCCGTCACCTTATGATCTTGACGCTTCCGTAAGCACCGCCACCAAACTCCAGTTCGCACCGCTGGTTGCCACGTTCTCCAGTAATCTCTGTGACAGTCGCACCCTATTCCGAAGTCCCACTCCGCCATTATTGTCATTTTCCATCCCTCGCTCTTTCCTTCCTCAAGCAATTACAGAAAGCGTGTGTGTGTGTGTGAAGTGGAAAATGCGACGGTTCAGTGATATGTGATTTCAAGTCTATATATGAGCCGCTTCAATCATGCTCGCAGGTCTCGACGACTCAGACTCTACTGTTTTCGATGTTGTCGATCTTAATTTTTTGCACGGACGACCTGTCGTCCAACGTATGTCTAGATCTGGACACCAAACCCCGACAAACTCCCTCCACAAAGCCGGCGATGATCCCAAGCAAAGAAATCCCCACACGACCAGCGTGAAGCACAACGTGAATGTTGTTTCTGTGAAGGTATCGTTTGGCATGGCACGGGCACCAATCTCTGCGCAAGCGGATTGACCATTTGGATTGTTTTTGAAGGTGCAGGTGATCCATTCTTGGTTGAGAACAGAAAGATCTTGCATCACGCGGAGAGGAAACATGAGAAGTTTGAAGTTGAAGAAAAGTGTCGTGGGTCAGTTAAAAATTTCATATGAAAGTCAACGTCGTCATTCATCCACGTCAAAGTCCCCAAAATTTGCCCTTAATTCGGTTCCGACTCGTTAACATTCCCGTTTCCACTCTTTCTTTTCTTTCCCACTCTCTTCTTTCCTCTTCATTCCCAAGGGACGCAATCAACTCTCCAGAAAGGAAAAGATTATACAACTTGAAATACCGAAATGGCACACGTGCTGCCGGCAAGAGCGAAGGATCGCCATTGCAACTTCAGCTGTTGTCTAATGTGCGCAACACGAGCACGAAAATTGTCCGTCACCTGCGTAGTTATCCATCGCGAGCGTATGTACTCTCTAACTTTACTGCTGCCCTGGAGTTTTTTGGGAAGGGGGAAAAATGAGTGAACGAATTGCGATGATAATCCATCGTTCTATGCCCGGAAACCACCCATATCACACATCCGCCGGGCCAACATCCGCCGACCCTTCAAAAGCTGATCATGACAGACAGACAAACAATTACCGAAAGTGAATACAAACCACCAAGATATATATTCCCGTTGCCAAATGTATTGGAAAAGCACAAATCACAAACGGTGCTGTAGGAAGCACAGTCCAAATCAATGCATTTTTGCCCGCAAAGATTGCCAATCCCGCACGGAAGCCGCTGTATCCTTTCGCAAAGGAGATGATAGTGAAAATCAGGGCTTTTGCCCATATGAACACGTGGATGGCAATCTGATATGTTTCGACGATGTTGCTCCGCCAGATGATTGTCTTTCAATTGTTGAAGTGAAAGGAATGGTTACGAAGGAAAATGAATTTTAAGAAGAGAAACAGGTGGCTGATGCATTCCAGTTTGAAGGCAAGGGAACGATTCATCTTGAAGCTTCGGCTTTCCATGTGTAAGTTGAGGATGAGTACAAAGACTTCCGGTTTCGTCAGAAGAAGTACCAGTGTTGTTAATCCGAGAGTACCTAGGCCTGGAAACCACTCGAACAGACCATCATTTCTAATTGAAACTTCATACCATAAGATGTCAACAAATGAGTACCCAAGTTGAAAAACCACCCAAGTATGGCAGACTTCAAGTTGTTTTGTATGTTCGCCTATGAAAGAAACTCAAGCTTCAGTACCCATAGGACTCTGTGCTTCTTCCCGGTCTGACATCTTTCTTTTCCGCGAACCCTCACCTCAGTGATTGGATCTGCACAAAACGCTGTCGCCCAGTCCATTGTGAACGATACACCAAAAAACATGATGCATCCCGACGCAACAACCATGGTAGACCAAATAGCCGGATGGCGCCGTCTGCTTCTCAGCATCAAATTCAGGAAGGTTGGGATGGCGTACAGAACCAGAGAAATAACGCAATATGTGGAATAGAGGGTAAAGCTCAATGCTTTGCGGCTATTGCGATGAGAAAGGAAGAATGTTACCGAAGATTGGAATCTGAATCATTTGTCTTGTGTATTTCGAAAGACCCCAACAGCCGCACACAACAATCCCAGATCCCACTGCCTCTCCAGCATTTCTTTTCCCAGAAATTTTCTGACATGCATTCAAACGCAAACTGGCGGTTGGAGGATGTCTTCTAGATCTTGAAACATGCCTGTACCGAAAGTGAGACGTCCTTACCCTTTCTCAAAGAACGCAAAATATGCGGGGCAAGGTAGGCAGCACCCACCAACACAATTCAGGTTTGGTTCCGATCGATTGGGTTGAGAATCCAGTATCAATGGGGGCGGGCAACTGCGCACAGAATTGCTACCATTCGCCGCAGGGGATGGTAGTGAAGTTGTAAGATCTAGACAGTCCGCTGTTGGGTATGGGACAAATCCTGCAGCCGTGTTATCTACAGGACCGGCACAATTGGGAAGGATAGAGATACGACCAAGGGCGGTGAAAATATCGCGACATTCTTTGACGGTTTTTTCGCACAGGGATTTGCAGGCATATTTTGGTGCTTTTGAAAACAGTCCGCCAAGATCAATGTGAATTCATGAGTTCGAAGCAGAAGTGGCTTCTTATATTTCGATACACGGAATGCTCCCTCTCGCCATCATGTTTCCTCGTGCAATCTAGGCGCTCACCTTTCCCACTTCCTTCCGGGGAGCACTCAGGATACGAATACGCGCAGAAAAACCTCAGAAAAACATCATAACATGTGGGCGTGGTCGCTTTGAGGAGAGAGAGCTGGTACATTCCTTGAGTACGCGCGTTTGCCTCGATCGAGGGTATATTTGAACTATCAGGGAGGTACACGGTGTAGTTCACCAAAGAAGCGCAAAAGAGATCGCTGGCTCCTGTGTATGGGATACATTCTAATGTAAATGTGGGATGTAAGATTACAAGGTATCATGCTGAACAGCGAGAACAAAAACGCGAAACTTTGATAGTTATGACACACTCCCCCCTTTCCGCTCTCCTCACTCCGATGCGTCCCATTGATGAAAGGCAAAAGACATTACTCTGGGCGAGAACAGGCTTCACAAGTAGAAGACTTGATGCCTGGATAGCGCCGACTATACGAAACAGTACGCGCGCCCTCATTTCGTCAACTGACACTTGTTGGTTGATTTTAAAGATTAAAATAAGATTTTTGGGATTGTGGGATAAATTTCAGGATTTACCCGATTGGAAGGAATCCCGCGGTTGACATCAATCCGGTGAACGGTTGTGTATTGAATCATCGAGAAACATCCACAACAAAGGCAACAATCGATTTCGGCGTACAAATAGACATGCACGTTCTATATATAACCAGCAACCCAACCCTGATTGTCACAAACTTCCTAAAGTTTTATCACAGAAATTTCACGCAGTCGCATATGATCTCGGTATCATTTATCAAAACCACAACAAATATCTACGAAGATATGTTTAAAAACGTTGTCGTCGCTGCTACTGTATTTCCTGCTGTTTATTTGTTTATCGCGACGTCCGACTTCGAAGTGACTGGCATTGTTCGTGCTTGTGGTTGTCGACCTCTGGTTTGTTATCAATTTTTGTGCTGTTGATTTTTGCAAAATGCTTATACTTTAGATTTGCGAGATGACACTTGTGTGCATGGCGAGTCCAATGGTTTGATTCTGGTCGCAACAATTGTTACCACGATCTTTTGCGCCCCAGATCTTGCTGGATTGATTGGGTCGCCGGATCAATAATCCTGAACGAAGAGAAACATAACTTCCGATGCTGATGTTCCAAGCGCAGAAACAAGTGGTGCGCGGTATATGTGTATGCATGGATCCGGAGGTGGATTGTCGACATAGCAAAGCAAGATGGCCCACATCCAGAACTGGGCAACATTAGCCATCTGAATGCTGATTGGTAATGAGGCCAAGGGCACCGCGTCGACGTGAGCATGTACACTTCCTTTGTCTAGAGAACGGGAAGTGTTTTCTCGTGATTGAAATCCCCATGTAGAGCCATGGCCTGTACAATATTGTGGAGTGTGTTGTGAAAGCAGACCCCTATACTCGCATTGAGGGTAGCGGGGACCCATCACGGCGTGTGTGTGACCGCCTGGTGAACATTGGATTTGGTGGGGTTGGATTGTGGATCTGCGCATGGTGGGAGTGGGAGGAAGAGGTCTCGAAGATGATGCTAAGTGAGATGGGATGGTTGTAGTTCGAAATCAGGAAGAAATGACAATCCGTGCCTCTGATGGGTAAATATGGAATCAAGATCTCTCCGCTGA